TTTAAAAAAAAAGTCATATACTGTCTTATGTATTGAATTCTATAGAGTCTGACCTGAGGTCCCGGAGTTCATCCCAGCAAGCCTCACAAAAGAGACAGCCTTCTTTGTATTTACAATAGGACACCTGAAGAGAAATGATACTTCTAAAATCCAGAGGCTGTCAACTATGGGGAAAGAATATAGGAGTAGCATGAGAGCAAACCTGATTTATATAACATTTTACCGTTTTTCTTTCTTTCTTTTTTTTTCTTTCCTTCTTTCCTTTTTCAGGCAAATGAAGAAACATTTGTTTCCCAAACCACATTTACAGCTTCTGGACAATGAGATTAGCACTTCAGCCAGTATTACCACAACAGCCATTTACTGTTGGGTTTTGTTTTGTTTTGTTTTTTTCTTTAGCCAGCATAAAGCTCTTGCAGAATCCATTGGGTTTTAAGAGACATCAATGAAGCAGTGTTTGTTTGGCCTGTGACCAGTTCACTTCTGTCCTCTAGAGACAAAGTTTCTCAAAGTCTTCAATAAAGAGATGTGTAAATGGAGGCTACACTTTGGTTTCCCTGTCACCCAGACCCCAATAAACACACAGAAACTATATTAACTACAACACTGTTTAACTAATGGCTTAGGCATAGTCCTAACTAGGTCTTACATCTTAAATTAACCCATTTCTATTTATCTGTGTATTGCCACAAGGCTGTGGCTTACCGATGCGGCATGTTACTCCTTTGACAGCTACGTGGAGTCTCTCAAACTCTGCCTACTCTCTCTGTCTCTGTTTGGATTTCCCACCTGGCTTTTCTCTGCTAAGCCATTGGCCAAAACAACTTTATTCATTAACCAATAAAACAACATATATACAGAAGGACATCCCACATCATAACCCCTTTTCTGTCTAAATAAAATGGAAAATTTTAATTTTAACATAATAAAATTACATAAAACAAAAAAATTATCAAGCAAGAATTACAATTACAATATTTAGTCTATTTGTATCTGGCAAAATTAAAGAAAATATTTTATCATCCATTTTACCTTTGTGAGTCTAAAATTTTACATCTAATTTATCACTTATCATAACTAAGGAAAACTGTAACTATCTGTCTTTAACTCGATCAAAGACCCCAGAAGGCTATAATGTTACCCAAGTAACGGGAAGTGCATTGTAATCAAATTCCAAAACTATAGAATTAATAGAGACATCTCACTGCCTGGACAGTCACTCAAATTTCTTCTGTAACATTGGAACATCCATCTTCAGCCTACAGACCCATAGTATCCAGCAGGCTTCTCCATGAAGCAGGAAATTTGAAAGACTGTTTTGCCTATATTAGCTGTTTGTCAGTCACTTTCTTCTGTGTCCTGCAGAATGTCTGGTAGACTCTTTCATGAAGCAGTAACCCTGAAGGACTGTCTTACCTTCTTTTAGCAAGTTCATATACAGTTTATACAACATGACAAGCAGCCCAAGCAAGAGCAATTTGTTGCTCAAATGACTAGGTTTGTCACATTGGAAGAAAATTCCATAATGAGTTTCTTCAATGCCCATCAACCTCTCTGAAGTAATTGGTGCTGCCAGAAGCAGACATGTCTCAAAGTTGAGAAAAGTCTAAGTATCTAAGCTCTTAAAACATTTTAGATGCTGTATTTTGTAGGACTTTGAAGTCTTTGAAGGTTCTCTATCTAACTGAAATATATCCAAACAGCCTACCTAATATGACTAAAAATTTGATTATTATAGATGACTATATATTAATCTATATTTCTAAATTATACATTACATTTTTAAATGAGCTGTATAAATATAACACCTTAAACAAGAGTAGAAATATACATATAACAAAATTGACCTTAAATTTAAATCAATAAGCCAAAGTATTCATTTCTATATTATATCCCCCCCTTTTTTAAAGGAGATTGACTGTGACAATTAACCACTTATAATCAACCCCCTTTAAATGAAAACATTTAGAAGGGCAAACTGCATCAGAGATGCCTGATATGGAGGAGGAGTGAGTGCTTGATCAGGAAAGCACACCATGGACTTTAGAATAGAAAAGACCAGGGTCAAGGCCCCATTCTTCTATGAAATAACTGTGAAATCTGGGTCTATTGCTTGAAATCTCTGAAATTTGATTCCTTAATCTGTAAAACTTACATGAAATGGGTGATCCAAGGATATTGCCTAAATTGAAAACCCCAGTAGGCATTACTTTTTATCTTTCTTCTGTGTTGTTACTTTTTTGTTATTGTTACAAACTGCCTTTGTAGATACAACCCTCATAAGGGAAAAAGAAACAAACAAATAAAAACTCAAGGGTGAGCAAAACATTTGCTCTGTTCCCTTGGTCATGTGGTTAAGTAGGTTTTTATGGGTGAGATAAACAACTAATCATATAGTTAAGGACCATTAATTTTATATCTCAAAATTTCTTTTTCCTCTAGATTTATGACTATATTCTTAAAAGATAGAATTGTCTAGATAAAACACTTCTAGGAGATCAAAGGGTTTCTTTAAAAAACATCTTCATTCATGAATAGTGCTTTATTTTAAACATTTTATGATGAAAACAGTATAATCTTGTTGAAAATATGAAAATTGGTAAAGACTAAAAGTGTCTAACATTAACCAAAACTGGGTCACTCATTCTTCTATAGTATTTGAAAGAACCAGAAAGTTTTATCTCTGGTGAGTAAACTTTAAAATGTAGTGATCAGACATACAAATTACATTCTGTCTAAAGACCTAATAATTTTATAGTAAGTAAATACAATAATCTGCTAAAGAACAAGAATGGGAAAGAAAAGGAGGTAAATACTTCATTTAATCTAGAGAGCAGATAATTGAAATGTAGCTAAAAGTTAAAATTTAAACTAGCAGGAAGAATACCAGAAGAAAATATGTGCCACCAAACCATAAAAGACTTGAAAATGAGTATTGCAAATAATCTCAGAAAATGAGAATAGAAGTCAGGCCCAGTGCCCATGCCTGTAATTCCAGCTCTCAGAAGGCTGAGGCAGGAGGATTGAGAGTTTGAGTCTATTGTGAGCTACAGTGGAAGAAAGAGAAGAAATGGAGAGAACAGGAGGAGGATATAAAAGAAGGCTCATACGGTGACCTGGAAAGAGTAGGACTGGGGCTGTAGAGTTCGTTCAGAAGTTAAGGATACCTGTACTGCTCTTGTAGAAGACCCAGATTTGACTCCAGACACTCACTGGATGGCTTCCAACTGTTTGTAACTTCAGTGCCGGAAGTTAGATTGTCTGAAAGTCTGAATAAGGGCTCATTTAGGAGCTAGAGAGATGACTTCAGTGGCCAAGAGTGCTTACTACTCTTGAAGAGGACCCAGATTTAGTTCCCAGAACTCACATGGGAGCTCACAACCACCTGTAACTCCAGTCCCAGAGGATTCCACACTATCTACTGGCTTCTTTGGGCACCAGAATACACTCAATGCACATAACTTATTTATATATTTATAAATTTAAAAAAAATGGTTTTTTTTTCAAGACAGAGTCTCTCTGTAGCTTTAGAGCCTGTCCTGGAACAAGCTCTTGTAGACCAGGCTGGCCTCAAACTCACAGAGATCCGCCTGCCTCTGCCTCCCAAGTGCTGGGATTAAAGGCGTGCGCCACCACTACCCAGCCTTTAAAAATATTTTAAAGAGATGGTTTTAGATGCCCTGTATGTCTGAGGTCTCACTTGCTTTGAGTATATTCAAGTATTTGTCCCTCTCCAGCCCTCACACACACAAAAAAAAATTGAACCAATTATTCAGGACCTGAAAAATTAACCAGCCATACAGAAATATGAATGACTCATTAAAAACCTTCTCCCTGATCAGTGACACTTGGACTTGGAACCTCTGCCTCATGGGCACCATGTTACACACTTCAAGTTTGAAGAATACAAAATTATGTATAGTGAAACTGAATAACCCAAGAAAATAGACTTAAAAATATTAATAGTTGATGTCTTTCATTGGGGTGGGGAGGAAACTGGGTCTCTCCCTAATCAATCATATTGAAGCTTGTCAGACAAATCTTGTAACACAGATTTTTTTTTTACTGGATCTAGTCTGTATATTCTAAATTATTTACCTGGACGTAAATCTTTAGTATGTTTAAAAACAAAAGAAAAAACCCTCAAGATTACTATGTTTAAGGAAAGTCTCCAACATAAAATAGAGAGAGAGAACTCAGAAGAAGTAGAGGTCATGTAAGATATGAAGGAAAAATCTTTTTTAAAATGAATTCTTCTTTAAAACATGCAGTTTCACAGAATTTATGATAAGATTAGTTAAATGAAAATCATCATGGAGGAGCAAGCGCTGGCCTCCCGAGAACGAGAACTTGAGTTTGCATCACCAACATCACATAAAAAGGCAGGTGCAGTGCATATGCCTGCAATCTTACCAGTGACAAGATGGGCATCAGAGACAGGCAAAACCTTGGAAGCTTAGTGAGAGACCCTGTCTCCAAAGAAAAGAGAAGAAAGGGTTTGAGGATCCACACAATGTGACCCTGTGTGTTAGAAAAAGAACCTTTTTCCATTTTATAATAAGAAATGCAAATTTTATCCTAATAGAAATTTTTAAATTAGGCGTTTTTAAGATCCATTCTCATGTGAAACAGTGTATAAATGTATAAACTTTAGTTCATTCAAAACTTGAATGTAGTTAATTTAGTACTAGCTCCATGCCTAAGCATTTTATGTTCATTAGCTCATTTAGCCTCTCAGAAACCTGTAATGTAGACATGTCATTTTCCCGGTTTTATAGATGAAAAGTTAGAATTTAGAAAAAAATAATGTCCCCAATGTCACCCGACCAATAAAGGCAAAACTGGGATTTGAACTGGTTGCCTCAGAGCCAACACACTTGAATGTCTCATTGCCTCGAGTAAATTTTCAGAAATTGTTTATGATTATAGAAATGTTCCAGATCGTCTCTGTCTTTTTTTCATGGCCTCATTGAAGCACACTCAGTGTTTTTCATTTCCAGGTTCACGTTCCAGATGAAAATAATGCTGTTTTGGGAAGAAATACAAATAAACAAGTATTTGAAGGATTGACAACTGGACTTCTCAGAGCCGGTGCTGTGGTTTTTAGCTGTCTGATTGCCAACCGACCAGATGGAAACAGCCGGCCAGCAACACCAAAAATACCAACACAGGAAATGAAAAACAAACCCTCACAAGGTGATGCTTTTAATAGTCGAGTTCAAGACCTTATCAGGTAAAATTGCTACGTTTCCTTTTAAAATATTGTTTTGCTTAAAAATATTATGATAATTTGAACTTAGGAACTTTGATGCAGTTGTAGTTCTTGCAGTTCTGTCCATAAGTTCTTGGTAGTGTCTGTGCTATCATGTGTAGAAAGAAGGCAAAGCAAATAGAGCTCAGCCGCCACTCTCAAATGTGCCAGGTCCTGCAGCTCTCAATAACAGCCTTCTACTCAGAAGCATCTGAGCACCCCTCAGTCCACATGCATTCAGACTTAATAGAACAAGAGGTCCCATTTATGGAGCTCTTCTTACAGGAAGATGCTGGAGTCTTTGCAGCCCTCGAAGAATACAGCTTCTAATTTAGGCTAGATGAGGAAATTGTTCAGGGAGGTTAAGCGCTTTGACCACGGTTATGTAATGAGTTAAAGAGTAAGGAGGAGAGCAGAGACTGGAGCTCACATCTAGTTAGACTCAGCAGCTGTACACTCCACACAAATGTGTGGCAGTTTCTGACACCTGTTTGGGGCCTGCCCTCCTTTCTTCAAAGGTCTCCTTTGCTCCGGGGAAATTTACTCTTACTTTAGCATCTGAACTTTTTTTCCCTTGTGAATCTTGAATCAGGTAGAATGTTTAATTTCCCAGCAGGGTTCCATCTGGTGTTAATCAGTTACTCCTCCACCAGTCAGCAGGCCTTCTGTGGTCTGCACTGGTCTTTGGATGCCAAATCCCTGCAATTTGTTGCTCTGTGAAACTTATGGTAGGTTAATAGAGAAAGAAAATGCCCTCCTACGCATTCGTTTCTTTCACAGCTCTTAATTCCCCCACTTCTTGTCCTGCTTTTTAAGAGTTGTTTCATTCAGCATGTCCCTTACTCTTGATTACTTCCTTCACTTACCCTTCCATCTGCCTGCCCACTTTCCCTAGTCTGTTTATTGCCGGAGAGCGCCAGGCGCTTTGGGTCCATAGCCGTTAATCTTAGAGCACTTGACTTTTACCCTCCCTGCCCTTTCTCTCAGTTGCTTGATCCCATTCAATTTCCTCGTGTCCTTTTGGTCATTGTAGGACTTAGCTGTTCCTGCTGATGAATGTCATTGTGTCCCAGCATTCTCTGTTAGGCTATCCTATGATGCAGTAGCCCTGCATTCCTATCAGCCAGTTTAGTCACATACCTTGACTATGATGAGGCAGAAGGCCCAGCCTAGTGCTTCAGTGCAATTACAGTCCCCCTTCAAGGAAGAACACTTTTTCACATGTATAACTTCAGTTGCAAATCCTTCCTAAAGGAAAAAGGTATTGTGGGGGAAAGTAGGAGTGTTCTTTTGTCAAAGCAGATAACTGGTATGGCTTTTAAAAGATGATTGACAAGCTCAGTACTCAAGAGCAAACCCTGACATAGGTCTCTTTCTCCTCACCTGGCACAGAACAGGCATGAATGTATCTTTTTTCAGTGTTTAAATTTTCTATTATTTTTTAAATACATCAATGTGCACAAAAACAATATTGTAGATACTGTGTTCTAACAGTTGGAAACTATTTTTCTCTCTAAATCTTGGATTTTTTTTCCTTATTATGAAAGAAACATATTTTCTTCATTATGAAGAAAACAAATACCACAGCTAGAACTACATCTTTACTTTCGTCCCTTTTACTCCATTTGCTCTCTTCTGAAACCTACATCATTATGTTGGAGCTGACATACATCATTTCCATGCCTGTTCTGTGTGTCTGTATGAACATGTTTAAATGTAATTAACTATATATTCTACTTTAAAGTTTTATGTAAATACTCATAGTATGTTAGGGGAGGCTGCTCATTCATTCCTGGCTTCCCAGACCCAAAATAATCACACAGAAATCTGTATTAATTGTGATACTGTTTGGCCAATAGCTTAAGCATATTTCTGGCTAACTCTTATATCTTAAATTTACCCATTTCTATTAATCTGTGTATCGTCATGAGACTATGACTTACTGGCAAGGTTACGTGCATCTTTCTCCAGTGGCTATATGGCTTCTCACTGGCTCTGCCACCTTTCTCCCAGCATTCAGTTTAGTTTTCCCCACCTAGCTCTACTCTGCCCTATCACAGGCCAAGGAAGCTTCTTTATTCATTAACCAATAAAAGCAACACATATACAGAAGGACCTCCCACACCAATAGTATTTTGACAGTTATTTGATGCAATTAAATTCAGTATGTTCTAATGCTGATTTTACCCATTCTGCTCTATGAATAAATCGATAATATTTATTTACCCATTCCCATAGGAAAATAATTCCTCCTTTGACTATTCATTAAACAAATGGAGCCTTAAACTTCACAGGCATATTCTATGTTTGTATAAGTTTGAAGGCCATGTGCTTACAGGAGGAATTTGTGGATGATAAGATAAGTGAATATTCATCTTTACCAGATAATACCACACTGTTTTCTATAGTAACTGTTTCTATTTCTATCATCAAAACCTTGGAGTTTTCATTTCCCATATCCCTTGCTTTTGTAATTGCCATAGGTATCAAATGGTAAGTAATTATTATCTTCATTTATATTGTACTTTCCATTTGTGAGATGGAGCATTGCTCATCAGCATTCTATCAATCAGAATTTGATTGTATAAAACAGAAACCACTGTAACAAATTGAAATTGAAAAGATTTAATATAGGAAATTAGACACCTACAAATTTATCTATGCTGGATCTCCAGGAACTCCCAAAACAATAATGTAAAACTGTAGGACTATTATATCCAACTTAAATTGGACCAGAGACCTTAACTAGTGCCTGAAACTCTAAAAGTACTAGAGGAAAATAGAGGGAAATGCCAAAGGCAACAGTTTACTCAGTAGTGTTCCAAACACAGGAAACATACAAGTAAAGAAACCGTCAACACAGTAAGGGAACTCCCTGGATCACTTACTCCGTGGATTAGCCCCAAAGAAATCACACAGAGGTCTATATTTGTTGTAAACTGATTGGCCCAGTAACTCAGGCTTCTTATTAACTAATTCTTATAACTTATATTAGCCCATAATTCTTGTCTGAGTTAGCCATGTGGCTTGGTACCTTTTTGGCAAAGCAGTCAATGTAACCCATGTCAATGTAGAAAACAAATGCCTTAGAGGCTGGGTCACAACTGCAGGATGCACTTCCTTCTTCCCAGAATTCTTGTTGCCCCACCTCTACTTCCTGCCTGGCCAATCAGCATTTATTTAAAATATAAGTGACAGGGTACAGACCATTGTCCCACAGCAGACCACAAAACAAAAACACATGATTGGGGGATGGGTATTGAAAGAAGGAGATAAGAAATTGTGAGGTGGTCAGTGAGACCAGAATGGTGTGTGTGTGTGTGTGTGTGTGTGTGTGTGTGTGTGTGTGTGTGTGT